AGATTCAGAAGAAGAAGATTCAGAAGAAGATTCAGAAGAAGAAGAAGAAGATTCAGAAGAAGATTCAGAAGAAGAAGATTCAGAAGAAGAAGAAGAAGAAGATTCAGAAGAAGATTCAGAAGAAGAAGATTCAGAAGAAGAAGAAGATTCAGAAGATTCAGAAGAAGATTCAGAAGAAGAAGAAGATTTAGAAGAAGAAGATTCAGAAGATTCAGAAGAAGAAGATTCAGAAGAAGAAGATTCATAAGAAGATTCAGAAGAAGAAGATTCATAAGAAGAAGATTCAGAAGAAGATTCAGAAGAAGAAGATTCAAAAGAAGAAGATTCAAAAGATTCAGAAGAAGATTCAGAAGAAGAAGATTCAGAAGAAGAAGATTCAAAAGATTCAGAAGAAGATTCAGAAGAAGATTCAGAAGAAGAAGATTCAAAAGAAGAAGATTCAAAAGATTCAGAAGAAGATTCATAAGAAGATTCAGAAGAAGAAGATTCAGAAGAAGAAGATTCAGAAGAAGATTCAGAAGAAGAAGATTCAGAAGAAGATTCAGAAGAAGAAGATTCAAAAGAAGAAGATTCAAAAGATTCAGAAGAAGATTCATAAGAAGAAGAAGATTCAGAAGAAGAAGATTCAGAAGAAGAAGAAGATTCAGAAGAAGAAGAAGATTCAGAAGAAGAAGATTCAGAAGATTCAGAAGAAGAAGATTCAGAAGAAGATTCAGAAGAAGAAGATTCAGAAGATTCAGAAGAAGAAGATTCAGAAGATTCAGAAGAAGAAGATTCAGAAGAAGAAGATTCAGAAGAAGATTCAGAAGAAGAAGATTCAGAAGAAGAAGATTCAGAAGAAGAAGATTCAGAAGAAGATTCAGAAGAAGATTCAGAAGAAGATTCAGAAGAAGAAGAAGATTCAAAAGAAGATTCAAAAGAAGATTCAGAAGAAGATTCAGAAGAAGAAGATTCAGAAGAAGAAGATTCAGAAGAAGATTCAGAAGAAGATTCAGAAGAAGATTCAGAAGAAGAAGAAGATTCAAAAGAAGATTCAAAAGAAGATTCAGAAGAAGATTCAGAAGAAGAAGAAGATTCAGAAGATTCAGAAGAAGAAGATTCAAAAGAAGATTCAGAAGAAGATTCAGAAGAAGATTCAGAAGAAAAAGAAGATTCAGAAGAAGATTCAGAAGAAGATTCAGAAGAAGAAGAAGATTCATAAGAAGAAGATTCAGAAGATTCAGAAGAAGAAGATTCAGAAGAAGAAGATTCAGAAGAAGATTCAGAAGAAGATTCAGAAGAAGAAGATTCAGAAGAAGAAGATTCAGAAGAAGAAGATTCAGAAGAAGAAGATTCAGAAGAAGAAGATTCAGAAGAAGAAGAAGATTTAGAAGAAGAAGATTCAGAAGATTCAGAAGAAGAAGATTCAGAAGAAGAAGATTCAAAAGAAGAAGATTCAAAAGATTCAGAAGAAGATTCATAAGAAGAAGATTCAGAAGAAGAAGATTCATAAGAAGAAGATTCAGAAGAAGAAGATTCAAAAGAAGATTCAAAAGAAGATTCAAAAGAAGATTGAAAAGAAGATTCAAAAGAAGATTCAGAAGAAGAAGATTCAAAAGAAGATTCAGAAGAAGAAGATTCAGAAGAAAATTCAGAAGAAGAAGATTCAGAAGAAGATTCAGAAGAAGAAGATTCAAAAGAAGAAGATTCAAAAGATTCAGAAGAAGATTCAGAAGAAGATTCAGAAGAAGAAGATTCAAAAGAAGAAGATTCAAAAGATTCAGAAGAAGATTCATAAGAAGAAGATTCAGAAGAAGAAGATTCAGAAGATTCAGAAGAAGAAGATTCAGAAGAAGATTCAGAAGAAGAAGATTCAGAAGATTCAGAAGAAGAAGATTCAAAAGATTCAGAAGAAGATTCATAAGAAGAAGATTCAGAAGAAGAAGATTCAAAAGAAGATTCAGAAGAAGAAGATTCAGAAGAAGAAGATTCAGAAGAAGAAGATTCAGAAGAAGATTCAGAAGAAGATTCAGAAGAAGAAGAAGATTTAGAAGATTTAGAAGAAGAAGATTTAGAAGAAGAAGATTCAGAAGATTCAGAAGAAGAAGATTCAGAAGAAGAAGATTCAGAAGATTCAGAAGAAGATTCAGAAGATTCAGAAAAAGTTTTAAACATTCAAAACTTTTTGTACACTCCAATACATTTGCAAATGGTGTTTTGCATTTGTGAAACGTATTTTATGAAAATGTATTTTTATTTTGTGCACCTGAAAATTTTTTGTGAATATAAATAAATATTTTACGCACGTGAATTTGATTTTATGCACGTGAATTTGGCTACGCATGTGTACATAGTGTCTTTTGTGTGAATTATTATTCAGTCTATTCTGACTCCATAGAACTGAACTAAACTGAACTTTAACTCTAAAATCTGGCCTTTACTAAAAAAGCTGCCTTGACACAATCTACATTGTAGAAGATTCAGAAGAAGAAGATTCAGAAGAAGAAGATTCAGAAGATTCAGAAGAAGAAGATTCAGAAGAAGAAGATTCAGAAGAAGATTCAGAAGAAGATTCAGAAGAAGAAGATTCAAAAGAAGAAGATTCAAAAGAAGAAGATTCAGAAGAAGAAGATTCAGAAGAAGATTCAGAAGAAGATTCAGAAGAAGAAGAAGATTTAGAAGAAGAAGAATTAGAAGAAGAAGATTCAGAAGATTCAGAAGAAGAAGATTCAGAAGAAGATTCAGAAGAAGATTCAGAAGAAGAAGAAGAAGATTCATAAGAAGAAGATTCAGAAGAAGAAGATTCAGAAGATTCAGAAGAAGATTCAGAAGAAGATTCAGAAGAAGATTCATAAGAAGAAGATTCAGAAGAAGAAGATTCAAAAGAAGATTCAAAAGAAGATTCAGAAGAAGAAGATTCAAAAGAAGAAGATTCAAAAGATTCAGAAGAAGATTCATAAGAAGAAGATTCAGAAGAAGATTCAGAAGAAGAAGATTCAGAAGAAGAAGAAGATTCAGAAGAAGAAGATTCAGAAGATTCAGAAGAAGAAGATTCAGAAGAAGATTCAGAAGAAGAAGATTCAGAAGATTCAGAAGAAGATTCAGAAGAAGAAGATTCAGAAGAAGATTCAGAAGAAGATTCAGAAGAAGATTCAGAAGAAGAAGAAGATTCAAAAGAAGATTCAGAAGAAGATTCAGAAGAAGAAGAAGATTCAAAAGAAGATTCAGAAGAAGAAGATTCAAAAGAAGAAGATTCATAAGAATAAGATTCAGAAGAAGAAGATTCAGAAGATTCAGAAGAAGAAGATTCAGAAGAAGATTCAGAAGAAGAAGAAGATTCAGAAGATTCAGAAGAAGATTCAGAAGAAGAATATTCAGAAGAAGATTCAGAAGAAGAAGAAGATTCAGAAGATTCAGAAGAAGAAGATTCAGAAGAAGAAGATTCAGAAGAAGAAGATTCAGAAGAAGATTCAGAAGAAGACTCAGAAGAACAAAACAAGAAGAAGATTCAGAAGAAGAAGATTCAGAAGAAGAAGATTCAGAAGAAGATTCAGAAGAAGAAGATTCAGAAGAAGATTCAGAAGAAGAAGATTCAGAAGAAGATTCAGAAGAAGAAGATTCAGAAGAAGAAGATTCAGAAGATTCATAAGAAGAAGATTCATAAGAAGAAGATTCAGAAGAAGAAGATTCAGAAGATTCAGAAGAAGAAGATTCAGAAGAAGATTCAGAAGAAGATTCAGAAGAAGATTCAGAAGAAGATTCAGAAGAAGAAGAAGATTCAAAAGAAGATTCAGAAGAAGATTCAGAAGAAGAAGAAGATTCAGAAGAAGAAGATTCAGAAGAAGAAGATTCAGAAGAAGAAGATTCAGAAGAAGAAGATTCAGAAGAAGAAGATTCAGAAGAAGATTCAGAAGAAGAAGATTCAGAAGAAGAAGATTCAGAAGAAGATTCAGAAGAAGATTCAGAAGAAGATTCAGAAGAAGAAGAAGATTCAAAAGAAGATTCAAAAGAAGATTCAGAAGAAGATTCAGAAGATTCAGAAGAAGAAGATTCAGAAGAAGAAGATTCAAAAGAAGAAGAAGAAGAAGATTCAGAAGAAGAAGATTCAAAAGAAGAAGAAGAAGAAGATTCAGAAGAAGATTCAGAAGAAGAAGATTCAGAAGAAGAAGAAGAAGATTCAGAAGATTCAGAAGAAGAAGATTCAGAAGAAGAAGATTCAGAAGAAGAAGATTCAGAAGAAGAAGATTCAAAAGAAGAAGATTCAAAAGAAGAAGATTCAGAAGAAGATTCATAAGAAGAAGATTCAGAAGATTCAGAAGAAGATTCAGAAGAAGATTCAGAAGAAGATTCAGAAGAAGATTCAGAAGAAGATTCAGAAGAAGAAGATTCAGAAGATTCAGAAGAAGATTCAGAAGAAGATTCAGAAGAAGATTCAGAAGAAGAAGATTCAGAAGAAGAAGATTCAGAAGATTCAGAAGATTCAGAAGAAGAAGATTCAGAAGAAGATTCAGAAGAAGATTCAGAAGAAGAAGAAGATTCAGAAGAAGAAGATTCAGAAGAAGAAGAAGATTCAGAAGAAGAAGATTCAGAAGAAGATTCAGAAGAAGAAGATTCAGAAGAAGATTCAGAAGAAGAAGATGATGCTGCATTGCACTTTACCTATGAAGCGCCTTTATGTCCCAGAATGCAATGCAATTGTGACATCACAACAGCATAGTTCCTTAGTGCTCAAGGGTTTAAAACACTTTTAAGTAAACAGGCTTAATGCCCAAAGTAGGGCACGCGGGCCAAAGCTGGCTCATTGTTTTTGGCCCTTCATAAGAAAAGGTTTGGGTACTCCTGGTTTAGAACATTTCATTTAAACCCATTTAGATGTTCCGCAAGTATTGGACACTAGTGTAATCAATTACATACATCCGAGGGAACGAGACAAAAGGGAAAGAAAGGAAAATGTGCAATTAAAGAACATTGAAAATTGGGCTGAAATGCAGCCTTAGCCTGTGGTTAAACATCTTTTATACCTCCATTAGCTTCATGCCCGGCTTCACGATCTTGGCCACTGCCGCTGCAGTTGGAGAAAGGTTTGTCAGCTCCTCTTCTGTGAGAGCTGGAACACCTGATGAAATACAAAAAACAAAGTCATGAAAAAAAATATCTTCACATGATTTAACCTATATATCGGTTTTATAAACTCATGAAAAAATGTAGCCCAAGTACACAGAAGCATTAACTTGGCCTAAAAGAATAACTGTCGCAGTGTTTCTGTGTGCCTTACCTCTCCTCTTAAAGTCTGCGAGCCTTGTGTTGGAGTTCTCCAGCTCCTTCTCCAGATGCCTAACCTTCTCACGTAAATCTGACTCTGCTTTCTCCCTTACGCTCTGCAACTCTGACAGCTTCTTCTCGGTTCCTTTATTGGCTGTTAATTAAGAAGGCAGAATTTCAGTTCAATGTCATTTAAGATGCTGACTCCAGCCACCCTGTGCTACCCTGAGGCAGACGGTTCCGCAGCATCCGGTCACGCACTAGCCGACTGAAGGAAAGTTTCTTTCCTCAGACTATCAGGCTGATGAACACTTAACACACCCCACACAGACTCTTCCATACCCCTCACTGCACACTATCAATATGTAGCATGCACTTCACTTTAACCAATCCATACTTGATACAATACTGCCTATAACTATGTGGACACCTATTCATTGTACATATCGCTGTCAATTTTACATTGTCCTTTTTTTGTTTGTTTTTTTGAGGAGTGTGCTGTATCAGTAATTTGTACTATCTGGAGCCAGCACCAAAGCTTTTCAATCATCATAGCACACGTGCTACTAATGATGTGATGATAAAAGTGATTTAATTTGATTTTGATTTGAGATGTAACTCACCACCACATTGAATGAGGCAATGAGAAAAAAATTGTGCCTTCTGTACATCAAAAACAAGACAATGGACATTTTTAATACAATTTCCTAAATATTACTACAATATTTGCAGTAGAGAATATGCATGCATGTAAAGATTTCAAGCTTGTATTGTTTGTATGTCTTTCAACATTTCAAAACAATGTAGTGTGTTCAGCCTTCCTTCTTGGTTTTGTTTTGTCGACTGAACAAGAAATAATACCTGCTACAAGTTAACAATTATTTTTTAACATAACAAAAGAGATCTTACTTCAATAGTCAAAAAAATATGTTATTCCCATGTAAAATAACTACAAAAATATAGAAAATAAGCATACCAATAGTAATGTAATAAATGACACTAAAGTCACTACTTTATTATCAATTATTATTAACTAAAGCGTTTATAAATCAGCCAGAAAAACATTCAGTCGAGGCCATTTATTGTAGAAAAATAAAAGATTAAAGATTTGCTCAAACCTTCCATTGCTTCCTTCAGCAGTTTATTGAGCTCTTCCACAGCTCTGTTCAGTTCAGTGTTCTTGGCTTCAGAATCTGATGCTGCACCCTGTCAAAAAAAGTTATGCTATTATATTACACATTAACAATGACAGGCACTTGTCATTTATTTAATTGCCATTAAAATAAATCAGCAAGTCAATAAAATAAATAAATAAATAAATGTTTAACTGACCTTGTACAAATTACATAGTTTGAGGTTTGCATTCAGCTCATTGCGGTACTTCTCTTCCATTGAGGCCCGTTGTTCTTTAGCCTAAAAATTGAACAAAAAGCTATTTGTTTCTATTCTATGCAAAGTGGTAACCCAAATAAGAATAAACTGATAAGCAACCTCTTTTAGCTTCCTCATCAGATCCTCTGTACTCTTCTGCATGCTGTCATTTGCTTTCTTGAGTGTGTTTACTTGATCCTGAAGTCTGGTCACCTGATTACAGCACATACATGACTGTTACTAATAGCAGGTCTACTAAGAATACATTCCGACACAAATGTATCTAAAAAATTCCCCCACCTCTTCCTTCTTGCTCTCTAAAGAACACCTAAGCTCCAGGTTCTCTTTGCCTTTGTCTCTGGATACGGTGTACAGCTCATCCGTCTTACTCTTCAGCTCTGTGTTCAGCCATGTGTTCTGGTTCTGGAGAAGCTCTTTTTCTTGTTCCATCCGCTTCTCACGATACTGAAACAAAGTGAAGTACACCATTTAAATAAAACTATGGACTCAATGATCAAATTTACCAAAGGGGTTATATTATACTTTTTGGAAATTGTATTATCTCATGTGTCCCCAGAATGTGTCTGTGAAATTTCAGCTCAAAATACCTTATAACTAGTGTCAATGTTCGTTTTTTTGTTTGTTTGTTTTATTAAATCTCTTGTAAATCTTCTCCTCTTTTAAAGTGGAAGCAAAAACATTTTATGTGCCATTTTAATATGCAAAAAATATCCTGTGATATATAAATATATATTTTAATATCTCATTAAATGCACATTTAAAGCTCCTTAACATGCACCTTGAATACTCTGGCATGACCAAACAAAATCTCAAAGATACACAAAATATTATATCTGTGAATGAGCAAATGCAGTGCATTCATGTTGAGAAACAATGCTAATTGATATGGAGAATAGTTCATTTGAAGTGGAATTGGTCACTTAAGTTCAAACACAAAGAAAAATATTAATTGTTTCACCATTAACTCGTCCTCCACTTTGTTCTGTTAAAACAAAAGATATTTGGAAGAATGTTGGAAACCGGTACCATTGACTTTAACAGTAATTTTTTTTCTAGTATGTCAATGGTTACCAGCTACTCGCATTCTTCAAAATATCTTCTTGTGTTCAACAGAAAAAACTCAAAAGGTTTTGAAAGCACTGAAGGTTGGGTAAATTGGGAGTATATTTTCATAATTGGGTGAACTATCCTTTAAAAACTGAAAGAAGTTGTGTAAAAAAAAAAAAGTGAAAGTGTAAAAAGCATATGATGCCTTTAATTTGTTGTAGACAGAGCTGAATGAAAGTCCCTGCTTACCTGAATGGAAACCTCAGAAGACTGAAGTTCATCTAGTTTAAGCTGGAGCTCCATCTTGATTGTGTTGGTCTCCACAAGTTTGTCATTGAGACGTTTGAGATCCTCTGCATATTGGTAATGTAGAGGAATGAAAATATGGAATGAATTGACATCATTAGACAAAACATGTTAGCAATTACAGATGTCAAAAGTACTGGTGCTTTAGTCAGGAAAAAAATACTAACAAACGAATCAACTTGACCAAGATTTTTTTTCAAAAGATTGTAAAATTACACTTATATAAATGTTTTATATTTAATTTAAAGGCAAAATCTCACATTTTTATTAGTTGTACAGATATTTTTGTATAGCAACCACAAGAACAGTCAAATTGATCAAGTAATGACAACTTTGATCACTAATTCATATAACAGTGCCATAACTCCTACCACTGAGGTTTTCCACTTCTTGAGATCTCTTCTCAAGCAATCGTGACAGCTCTCGGTTTTCTGCCTCGATTTCATATTTGGCTCTAGGAGGCTTACTCTGAAATGCATAAACATTTGGATATCTTCGTCATCGTTAAACACTCAAATAAAAAATACACATGAATACGAGTTGAGAAACTCAAATAGTTACCTCTTGCGTTGTTCCCTGCACTTCTTCTATCTCTTTTAACTTCTTAAGCTCTTCCACTTAACAATCAAAACACACGCAATCATGTTATACACCATCTCTGTCAATACGATCCAAAAAAAAGGAAAAAATATATATAATAAAATAAGACATAACTTACCAAGACGGTTGTTTTCCTCCTTAATATTGTGGTAGTCCTTACTTTGGGATAGAAACTGCTCCTGACTCTCAGCAAGCTTCTTCTCGAGATTAAAGTACTGTTGCTCTGTAGATACAAATACATGTAATATGATTCTTTAACAACACTTATTTAGACACTTCATGAGCATTTGAGCAATTCCATGCAAATGTCAACTTTACCATGAAAAAAGAATTACTTTCACCAAAATACAGAAACTGTTTCTTTGTTTTTTGTGAAACCAAGTATTTTACAGTACTTCAGAAATACTCCAATGTCTCTTTCAATGTTTTCAAACTAATATATTTGATTTACCAAAGTCACACAAGTGGCAATTTCACATCCATAACAGAGAGATGTCCCAAACATAATGACACTTTTGGAAAAATATTAAATAAAATAAAATTAATCATCTTTGTTCTATAGAGAACCTACTCTTATCCTTTTGATGAGCATTACATCTTTTGGGTTGTGCAGTTTAATTCAGAGCATTTCTACAAAGGATGTTGTATGCTGTACATTTGCAGACTTTTGTTGGTCAAATCCATAACACATGTTTATTTTCCTCATTTAAAGTATAAAAAAAAGGGTTTACAGATTGATATTTTTCTGGTCCTTAAACTCTGTGGTAAGTTGTTTTGGAAAATAAGAACAGATGTTTCAATATAATTTTAACGTATACTTTTGCTGTGAATTTCCGTTTTAAGATTTTACTGCAAACGTCACATTCATAACCAGGACTTGCTCATTTATGAATTAGAGTGCTGTTAAAAATAAAGTGATAAGTTAAAAAAAAAGTGATAACACCATAAGATTCCTTACATTATCATAATATTACAATAAGTTAACAGCGTTTACACTCAAGTCATAAGAGCTGTTTTAATTCAGTTCAGTGTAACAGGAGTTAAAATTTCTAAGTTGATTCAACTTAATTAAATACTTAAAGTGATATTTCACCCTAAAATAAAATTCTGTCATCATTTATTCTCCCTTTACTTGTCCAACACTTGTTTGAGGTTCTTTCTTCTGCTAAACAAAAAAGACAACATTTAAAGAAAGCTTAAAACCTGCAACCAATAACTTAAATGTTTGTTTTTTTTATATTATAAAAGTCAATGGTTACAGGTGTTCAGCTTTCTTCAAAATATCTTCTTTTGCATTCAACAGAAGAATGAAACGCAAAGCTTTAACAACTTGACCTTATCTATCCCTTTAAGTCACAAATAAATAAATAACCACAATTAAAAGTTGTTGTTTTTTTTACCAAAAAGGTTAACAAGAGAGCTAATATTCCACTTTATTCCCATTATCTAGTCAACTACAGACGTTACTAACTTGGTTAACTAAACTTAAAACAAGAATTAGTAGTAGATACATTTTAGTGCATCATGGGAGCAAATGACCATACAATTTGCTCTTCATAATGTTTAACCAGTATAAACGAGCGTATGAAGCCCAAGCATGCGGTTTAATGAGGGTAGATAACGTTTCTACTTTCTAAGCTGCTGTTGAATGACTCTCTGTCCCGCCTGCTGCCGTTACTCACCACAGTCTGCTTTATACCGCTCATGCTGTGATATCAACGAGTCGATTTCCGTCTGCTGCTCTGCCAGAACCTTCTCGAGCTTGTTCTGAATGGCTTTCGGCAGTTTGTTGACCTCGGTTCTTTCCAGCGCTTGCTGAAGAAGTGCCGCCATCTCTCCGGCTCACTGCAACAGCTAGCATTAGCAGTCAGCTAGTAGTTCCTACGTCATATTTGAGCGATGTAAACTCAAGCCGCAAAGCAGCACGGACCTGCACGCGTATTGTCCAATCAAGTCTCTTGAATTGGTGTGCGTCACTTTGATGCGACGACATGTCACACGTATTGGGTCCATTTACTACTGCTGTGAGAGCTCATCAGCTGTTTGGAGAAGTGTGCATGATCTGAAGGTTTTTATTTGCTGTATATTTTTCTTATATATTTATATATTTCTATATACGACACTGTTTTTGTTGTGTTTGCTAAGATATCGTTATTCTCAATATGTTTAAAGATGTTTTATATGTATGGCTATGGATTTATTGTTGGACGTTCAACTGTTTTGTGTATCTGTAGTTTGGAACTAGACTGTAGAGATATTTTTATACTTGTGTATTATATTATATATTATCTTATAATTATAATGTTTGACGCCAATAATGCAATTCAAAAGGGTTTACCTTAGTTTTAAAATTAACATAGGCATAACTAAATTAAATCAAATGTGTTGTAATAATTATAACAAAAATAGTTTAATATATTAAGTAAATTCAAATCAGAGTAAACAAACAGTGAATCGTTAATACTGTATTAAAATAAGTAGATAACTGTGTGATTTAAACCAATAATATAGCAGTACAATGAGTAATAAGAAATAATGATGAGTAACTGAACAAAAACTAAACATTAAACATTTTTTATAATGTGTATTTTCACAGTGTAAAATGAGTTTTTATACAAGAAACTATTCAGATGCCTTTTACATTTAAGGTTGGGTGTCATTTGCAAGAGTAATATCGCATTTTAGGGTTCAGATACATATAAATCCTTAAAATAAAAATAATCAGAGATTTTAATACTGGTCCTGCACCAATAATTAGCCACAACATGAAAATGATTTCACAGAAGATTTGTCATGACCAAAAGTCGATTAAGTAAACCATTTCAGTAAGAAAATTTACCCTAATTCAATTTCTCACTTGTATTGGTGGGAGTATTAATTGTGTTACTAATAGTAATAATGCTGGTAACACTTTATTTTGTTGGTACATTTGAGTATTAGTCGACTGTCTGCTTAATATCTGTTAATACTGCTTCTACAGACATTTACCTGACTATAAGTCATTGTCAACTTACACTAACCCTAACCCCAACCTAACAGTCTGCTCATAATCGAATGAGAATAAGTTGACACGTAGATGCAATGGATCTTAAATTTCACAATCGGACCATTAAGACAAAGTGTAACCATAATGCTAATAACATTTTCCCTTAATAACTGCAGTACCTAACTGAAAAACAATATGAATTATTTATTTATTTTGCATATAGTTTAAAATAACAGTTATGTGAAGTGAGCATTGTAAACTGTGCATTTGGATTTTAAGTCCAGCTCCCTAACTGTTATGGCACATCTACCTCAAAAACATAACAGAATATATTTTTTGTAGTTAGGTATTTTACAAGCTGGTTGATATATTATTACCATTTACTATATTGATTGTTTTAACAGGCAGAATGGGAAGGAGTTACTTCGTAGATGAAGCTGTAGAGGAATACCTTAGTGGTCTTCAGGCAGCTCCTGGATCATGTGTCACAGGACTCCTCGCTGGTCACGTAAGAAAGCGAAACTAACCTGTATTTAAACATGTTAGGTCACAGAAACACACTTTCTTTCCTGACTGTTTTCTTTTACAGTCGTCTCCTCAGAGGGATTTTGTGGTGTTAGCAGTGCAGACTCCTCACAGGGAGAGCGAGGGGCAGACAAAAGCTACAGCTGGAGGAAGTGCACTTGATGATATTGATGTGGCGTGGCTGACAGAACATGCCAAGCAGGTGGGCAGTATTTTTTTATAGTGATGGCAAGATATATGACAATATTTACATAAAGCATTAATCCTGTACACACAACCAAACATGTAACATAAGTTGACTGCTAACATTCAACCTTTTATAAAAATTTGTGTGTTTGTGTATGTGTCTGTGTGTTTGTGTTATAATGTGTAGAGGTGTAAGCAAAAAGATTGGATTGATAGGGTTTTGAGAGATATTTGAAAAAGAAAAATTAACAAATAAATTTAAAAAAAGAAAAAGATTAGTAACACTGGTAATAATTACAACATTAATAATGATAATAAGAATGGTCAATAATCAATATGGATTTAGGACATCAGAAGAAAGGAGTAACTCATCCCAATGTTTACAGACAACATTATTTGGATATTAGAAGCCAATATTCTCAGCATTCACCTATTTTTACAGATGGCTCTAAGGTGGAAAATAGCGTAGCAGCTGCAATGGTAACTGGTCAACAACATTATGGAATCAGTCTGCCTAAAGAATGCTCCATATTCACAGCTGAAGCCCGCGCTTTACTTTTAGCATTGGAGTATATAGAAAATGCCCAACAAAAGAAATCCATCATTTTTACAGACTCTAAATCATGCCTCCAAGTTATGGAATCTTCAACGAATAATCATCCTTTGATTGATAATATTTTAACTAAAGTTCACCAACTACAAAATCATTTTTATCACATCATTTTTTGCTGGGTTCCAGGACATGTCGGACTTTTAGGCAATGAGCGAGCTGATGCAGCTGCTAAAGATGCTTTGAAGCAAGTAGTGAACAAATGCCAAATTCCTCCATCAGAGATGAAACCTTTTATCAACGCTTACATTTTAAACAAGTGGCAAAAGGAATGGGATGCATTAGAAAACAATAAATTACATGAAATCAAACCTCAAGTTTCACACAGAATTTTAAGACATTTTAAGAATCGATTTGATCAAGTAGTTTTTACCAGATGTGGTATTGGGCATACGAGAATAACACATGGTTTTTTGCTTCAAGGTGAAAACCCTACTCAGTGTTTGTGCTGCAAAACTCCTCTTACTGTAAAACATATTTTACTGGACTGTCCTGCTTTTACTGATTCCTGAAGGACTTTTTATGAAATTAACTCTTTTAAGGACATTTTTGACAAAGTAACACCCGAAAAGATTTTAGAATTTTTATCATGTATTAACACAAAAAATCTTATTTAATTTATGTTTTATTTTGTTTGTTGATTTTTAAATTGTATATTTATTGTTGAAAGATTCCTGCCATGAAGATAGCCTTGGGTGCTGACATGGCACTAAATAAAAAATACATTACATTAAGAATGGTCATAATAAAAGAAAAGAAAGAATAAGGAACGGAGCAAGGGATGATTTTATTCAAAGGGAAGCACATATCCAGCACCACCCTGCCCCATCATCCCTTATTCTTTAACTCATTTTGAACCTTGTTTTAAACAATAGCTATTTGAATTGTATTTTTTAGTGTGCCGAAAAAACCGCCAGCAAAACTAAAGCCAATATATTTCTTTACCCATCTCCCATCATACACACTTTAAAACACACAAACATACACCTTTATTTATTCTCATTCCTTTTTCAGTATATCGTAGTGTATACTGTTTATTAATAAATTTGATTCATGTAAAAAGTAAATAAATAAAAAAGCAGCATTAATTTACGCCCCCTCATGATAGGTAGGCACAGTGTGTACTGTTGTACAGCTGCAGGCACCACTGATTATATATATACATACATACTGTATATACAGTTTATATACATTCACACATACATACATGCATACATTAAATACCCATGCTAATATCATGATATATCATTATCTGAGAAAAAAAATAGCGTGATACCATTGTTTCATGAGTTTATCTGTGATTCCCACCCTATATATTAAGGCTGGGGATCACAGGTAAGCTCACGATACAATACTATCATTACATTATTTATTCTCAATAATGATATATCACAATTTCAGCGATTCTGTGATATATCACAAGAAAACCATCTACAATATATCAAGATGTAGGAAATATGTACAAAAAAACAACAGCACAACATTTCCTCTACAAGCAAAGGTCTATGTTTAATGTGGCTTCCCTTGGCACTAAGCACAACTTGAACTGTTTTGTTTTGTTTGTCCTAAATAATGTGCTGTGTAATATCAGGCTTTTTAGCACTTCCGAGAGTTCTTCTTTAGGTTTACAGTGTAATATCTTTCTTTTTCTGTTCAAGTGATCTCATACAATCTCTTTAATATTCAGGTTTGGACCCTGTTGAGGCCATTTCATGACTGTCTGTATACAAATAAATATTTGAACTTTCTCTCTTCAAGGTGTCTCGCATGCTGCCGGGAGGTCTTTGTATTCTTGGCCTGTTTATAGTAACTCCGCCTGAACTCTCCAAAGATGCCAACAACACTTTAAAAAGGGTATACCATTAATGTATTTGTCTGTTTATTTTAGGGCTACTGCACGATACTGGGAATATATGTAATACTCAATGTCGCTGTTCAGTATGGCTATAGCAATATTTCTCGCAATGTAACAAATAACCTAAATATGTTCTTCTTTGAAAGCAGTATAATGTAGGTTATTGAGTTACATTACAAGTCTTAAACATTTTTATTATGTTTAATAAAATAATAAATATATATTACAAAGCATTTTAGCCCAGTGCAGCCCTAGTTTATTTGCTAATTTGTTTATCCAGAGCAAATAACTTATTTTTTAATGATAAAATACAGAATCCAAAAAAAAGTGCTTCAGGAGTATCTATTGTGTTCCAAAATTCTTGGGCTTTTTCACCTACTTTCTGAGTGTCTTGAACTAATGATTTTTTATTTTATTTTAAAATGACTGAATAATAATATGTACAATTATTTTTTTTAAATATAATTTAAATGATATAATTTAAATAGCTTTTTTATTTTGCTTTGTCAAAGAACATTTTGTAAACCATCACAGCATCATTACTTATACAGTATGTCCTGGTCTCTTTATGTAGCTTTTATTTGCCATGGATAAGTACATAACTAAGGGAAGACTGTGGGACCTGTCAGAGGAGGACGTGACTGAGCGAGTCACCCTGCACATCTGCTCCAAAACGAAGAAGTATCCTTCATATGGCCTTCAATAATATTTCTCCTGTGAACTAAAAGCATCACCCTTTTAGAAGAACCTCAAAACTCTGCAAAATCCTTAACTTAAACTGTACAGAGCTGTCTGCAAAACATTTGATGTAAAAGATCCAAAGGTTCGAGACTAATTCTTCTTGTTTAAAAGAAAATAGTGTGAGAAATTGTATTTTGTTGTGTTTTATTCCTTTTGCGCTTTGATTAATAGAGTTCGGCCAAGCCAGCAGACTGGAAGTATCAGACAGGAGTCTCTTCACCCTGGCCTATGCTAACCTGCTCTGTTGAGGTGGATCTGCAGATCCCTCTCATAGGATCTTCCTCTAATAACATAGAAACTTGCATGAAGGTGAGACAGAAGACATGGTAGACTCTCTCGAGCTCTGGGTTGGACCTCATATTGACATGTGATCATCATAGAGGTTTTATCAGCTGCACATTCATGATGTAAATCTTCTGTTCCTCCAAATGCTAATGGTGGGCACTTTTAAAGGGGATAAGCCCACTATAGCCAGCTAATCCAGCTTCATGGTACAGGCCGCATCTTGTTTATCGGGGTTCCTCAGGGATCAGTTCCTGGTTCCCTTCTCTTCTTTATTTACACCACTTCGCTGGGTCACATCATTTGAGAACATGGCTTTTATTACCATTTCTAGGCTGACATCACACAGCTCTTCCTCTGCTGTTGTTGCTTTTCTGCTTTAATATTTAACAAATTGGGTGTTCAGAGATGTCATACTGCAGACACCGGCTGTAATGTGTGGTCATTTACATTTAAATGTAGTCATTTAGCAAACACTTTTGAATTCGGCGATTCAACTAGAAGAGGCAATGCACACAAGAAGAGCTAATTATACAATGAAAATGTTTGTGCTCAGATGATTTAGTGTAAAGAGGAGGAAAGTGTTTTTTTAAGAGAGCAAGAGAAAGTTTTTCTTCGACAGGTGGTTTGTCAAGCTGTGGAGCACACTTCATTAATGCACAATGTTTTTTGTGAAAGGGTTTTTATATGGAATTATTGTAAAAATGTGTCAAAGGATGCAAATGTGAAAAAATAGTTATTTGAGTTGATTATTTAAGTTACTTTTGCTTTTTTAATCGGCTCAAACCAGTTTGGTCTTATTCTTTCACGTTTTCTTTTCTTCTAGAGCAGGGGTCACCAAACTTGTTCCTGGAGGGCCAGTGTCTTGCAGATTTTAGCTCCAACCCTAATCAAACACACCTGAATGAGCTAATCAAGGTCTTAATAGGTATACTTGAAACATCCAGCCAGGTGTGTTGAAGCAAGCGGGAGCTAAATCTTGCAGGGACACCGGCCCTCCAGGACCGAGATTGGTGACCCCTGTTCTAGAGCATTTGCTGTAAAGCCCAGAAATGGTTATGTCTAAAAAAAAACAATAGATCAGCAGATTCAACCATTCAAAGTCACTTAAAGAGATAGTTCACCCAAAACTAAAATTTACTCATCATTTACGCTCATGTGGTTCTAAATTTCTTTTTTCATTGGACACAAACAAAAAAATAATAGCAATTTATTAAAAGCATGTTTACATCTTTTTCAAGAAATCTTTTCTGTTCATCAGAAGAAAGAAACTCATTAATGTTTAGAAAAAGGGGAGAGTAAAAGTAAACAAAGACAGATTGTTTAATTTTAGGTGAACTATCCCTTTAACTAATTTTTTCAGATCATTTGGATCTGAGCAGATTTGCTTAACCACATATAGTTGCTTCTCTGTGAGTGGCTGATTAGGTGCTTCAGTTGACAAGAAGTGGAAGTAATACCTAATAAAGTGACCATTGTATAAACAAGTGTATAAACAAGAAAGTAATAGAATAAAAGTAGGCCAGTGGGTTGTGCATTTTATCTTCTTTTTTTTCTCTTGTCTAGGATGGTCTTATGAGGTGGGCTAAACAGATTGAGGCTGGTTACTGTCTCATAAGTGGCAGACAGGCATTAGATGACACTGAACTCTTCATAGGACAGGTAAAAACTAATTAAATAATCCCTCTGTCATATTAATTATATATATAAAATAAAATTTTAATTTTTTTCTTCCAGAAAAAGAACCCAAAGACAAGCCATCGTCAGATACTACCTGTGCGGATCCTTGTCTCAAATGTGAGTTTATGATAATCTTCTCATTTACATCAATTGTTTGAATGGGGCATACGTGTGTGTGTGTGTGTGTGTGTGTGTGTGTGTGTGTGTGTGTGTGTGTGTGTGTGTGTGTGTGTGTGTGTGTATTGACAGTTGTGTAATAAGAATATTATTGTTGCAGGAGAAGTCAGATGTGGACGAGCGGTGCAGTGCTGTGGTTCAAGTGTGCAGTGGCTCCATGAGAGTTCGAGGAGTCGTTCACTGCAGGGCTTATATAAACAGCAACAAACCTAAAGCCAGACATGCAGTGCAGGTCATTAAAGCCTTGTATCAAAAAAATATTATGATTTCCAAAGTATTGTGACACTGAATGACGCTTAATTCTGCTTTGAATCACAAGAATAATTGACGTTATTCTAACAATTTTTTAAATTATAATTAACTTTACATGTTATTATCATTATGGTTCAATTTACATTGAATATCACTAAATGTGAAATAAATATCAATTTCCATTCTGTACATTCTAATGTTAAGATGTCTGAATTTACTTCAAGCATTGCAGATGACCACACTTTCTCCTGTTTTTAGGATATAGTTTTAATTTGTTTTCCCTTTGTACTCATAGGCTATTAAAAGAGACATCATAAACACAGTTTCCTCTAGAGTGGAGATGTTTCTAGAAGATCTTTTAATGAGTGAAGGGAGTCACAAAGGTACAGTTGAGCACAATGTCTTACACATGATGTTTGGAAAAAAACAGTGCATATAGAAATAAAAGTAATGCCATCATTTAGGCTTATTTATACTCATCATGTCATTCTAAATCAAGACACTTGTTCTTCTGTGGAACATAAACAAAAATTATTTGAAGAAAGCTGGTAATCATGCTGTAGTAGTGTGTAGAAACCAAAGCTTTTCCACTAAAAAAACCCAAAGTCTTTAAATTTGGAACAATGTGAGGGTGAATAAAAGATGGCTATAAAAAATAGGTAAACAAACGCTTAAAGATTTTTAGAAATCTTTACAAAATGGCCGCCAGATGGCGATATGATGCCATTTCTTTCTTCATTGATTGAAGGAATTTTGTACTGTTTTGAAGTTCATAGTTTCAATAAGTGTAGTGAGTTTAAATATTGTTTTTTTAGGTCTTTCCACTGGCCAACAGGCTCTTCCTCGCCGTGTGTTTGCCCCAATGCCCTTTTCCAGCCTCTCTGTGTGTGACTACATGTTCCCAGATGAAAACACAGCTGATGTGGCGGAGCGTCTGAAAGAGATGCTGGACTGTGAAACACCAGTAGAGGACATAGACATCAGTCTGGAAAGCAACCAGTGTATGTTTTTTATATTTCAATATGAGACTTTAGGGATTAATTAAACCATTATCTTACTTTATTTGAGTGTTTCATGGTATAACAGCTTATTTGAATAGCAAAATAGTGGAATTTCACTGTTGTGCTTGTTTGTGTCATCTCTAAGAGTATTGTGCAATGTAGAGCAAGTCCTTGCAGTGTTCTATAGGACTCAAGGATGACTGAACACAAAAAGTCAATAGAATAGTTATGGTTAAACAGACAAGAATGCGTATAGGTGTGTGATTTGGAGAATACCAAGGGATAAACCTTTTCTAAATGAGCACATACAGACCTTTTGTGACACACCCTGCCTCATTTCCCGCTCAAAATAATAGCCAGCTACACCTCGTCTCTTGTTCAAACCAGTTGAAGGCCACAAATGGTTTTCCATGTATGGTTAAAAGGAAAACCGTTGTAATGTGACTAGCCACAGGCTGGAGAATATCAGATCCCTTGTAATAACAGGGCCTTGGGGAGTTTAGGATTATCGTCTCTATGGCAACACAACTCAACCTGCTCCTTCTACTTTCATTTTGTAAGTGTTACAAGCCTTCAATGCCCATTGATTAAATGTTTACATGTTTGTACATGTCTTTTTTTTCCAGTACTTTCCACTGGATCAGTGATAACTGACAGCCACAGTGATGATTCCAATGAACATATCAACTCAGTAGTCCAAGATGAAAATCTCAAAATTCAGAAAGCACCGCAATACTATGCTGGTAAGTGGCTAAAATCATTGATAATTGCAACTTCCTCTAAATCACGTATTTTAATTCTTGGTTGTGGAATGACTTTAGTAATAGAATAGATTAAATAATATTCCTTGTTTTGTGGTGTTAAAATAGTTGGTCTCACCAAATAAGTTAAATGGATAGTTCACCCCAAAATTAAAATTTACTCACAATTAACTCATCTTCAAGTTGTTTCAAACCTAAATGAGCTTCTCTTTTCTGTTGAACACATAAATATATATTTTGAAGAACAGCAGTACCATGTAGCCATTGATTCATTCATTCATTTTCCTTCGGCTTAGTCCCATTATTCAACAAGGGTCACCACAGCGGAATGAACCACCAACTTATCCAGCATATGTTTTACACAGCAGATGTCCTTCCAGTTGCAACCTGGTACTGGGAAACACCCATACACAATCACATTCACTCTCATAAACTACGACCAATTTAGTTAATTCAATTTACCTATACAGCATGTCTTTGGACTGTGTGGGAAACCGGAGCACCCAGAGGAACCATGTAAACACGGGGAGAACATGCAAACTCCACACAGAGCCACCGTGTCGCCCCTTGTAGCCATTGACTTCTAGTAAAAAAATGTATAAGTACAAATCAATTATCCTCTTTTGAATGCTAATCAAGCGAAAGAAACTCAAATATGTTTGGGACAAGTGTAGTAGGAAGAGGGGTTTTCACACTTGATTTAGTTAACTCTGGGTTATTCTAAACCCCAGGTACACACTAGTGATGCATAATATATTGGCAACCATATTAGTATTACAGATAAATGCTTAAATTCATCATCATTATTGACTGATAAGAACACAGTTAGTCAGTTGGTAAAATGATGATTATTTTTACCTATTTATCAACTTTATATGAGTTTGCTGGAGGAACATGAGGTGTTTGATTGGTGTTTTCTATATGACGTAACAACACACACACAGCAGATACGCATTTTAGAAATGTTTATGCTAGTGGAAGACACAATGTAATGGGAGAAAATAGTTACTTCCAAATATAAAGTCATAATTTACCAGTATCAGTCAAAATTTCATTATCAATGCATCCCCCAGCCACGGGATTGCGCATCCTCACATTTTAGTGCTGTCAAATTCACTATAAATGTATAAAATCATAAATTAAACTAAGGGCCAGTTCTAGATCATTTTTACAGGGTTTTTACAGGTCATCACAGTCCCCCTAAAACTATAAGAATGTATCTGATCAAGCTGGCCTGTGCAGCTTACTCTAGAAAGTTGTGTGTTTTCACAATTTTTGTATTATTTATGCTTTTAGGCAGGATTGCCTTATGAGTTTTGCAGTTGATTTACCTTGCAAACTGCCAGGCCATTTATTGGTTTATTGTTAGCCATTGTTCTGACCCCCGCCAAATTATTACCCCCACTTAAATCCACAATGTAGATAGGTTTAGGATTAGGGGTGGGGTCAGGATTAGCAATTTAGAAGCCGCTTTTATCTGAGGGAAGTGGTAATTATTTAGCAGGGGGTGAGTATTCACAACCCCACGCCTTTTTGTCTTTGTTATCTTTAATTGAAATCTAAAGAATTGTCTTTGCTCTAGAATGGAGTTTTTAAGTCATTTGTTGATGTTACTTAAAAAAAAAAAAAAAAAAAAAAGAGTAAATCAGTTGTATTTTAAAGGGGTTAGTTGACTTTACTTTAAAAAAGGTGAGTAATCCATTTGTCCTATAAAATGAAGTAAATGAACCGTGTGCAAAATTATAAAATAAAGTAAACGTAACTATTCCAAGTCATAACAGGTTTACTTACTTCTATAAATAAAGTAACTAAACTTTTTTGTACAGTGTGTTTCTCTGTTGAAATCAGTTTGACAGAATATTAGTTGCCAGAATATCCTTAATCACTCCTGTCCAGCCCCTTAAATTACTGAAGCAAAGTCAAAATCTTCTGTATTTATTCATGCTGTCAGTTGTAAAAGAAAGAAATCTTAAGTTTAATATTTGAACTTCATGTTAGTTAGTCTAGCAATAGATTTTTAATTATATAATTTTTTTTGGTGTGATTGAACATTGTAATTGGGAATTGTGAACTTTAACTGATATATATGGTCAGTGAATGCTTTTACAGTATTTTTGGTCAGTGAATGCTTTTTCAAGCCCAACATCTAAACCTCTGGGTAGACTATGCCAGTTTTACTAGTTAATAATTATAATTTGATGACAATTGTTTTTTGTTGGCAAAAAGTATCTGTAGACAAAAAGGATATGTAGACATATGTAGACTTTTAAAAATGCATTTTCATTGTTGCCATCAGTGGTTCCATTTAAGAACCTTTTCATTCCACAAATAGTTCTTTATAGAAGTAAAAGAAAACCTTTTTTCACTAAATGTTTCTATTTGGTATCACTGCAAAAACACACCCTTTTGAAAACCTTTATTTATTTATTTTTTTAACAGTTTTTACAGTTTGAACTGCACTGCCGAAAATACATTGTTATGTCATTAAATGCATTTTTGTATTATTTTGGTAATTGTTTAATTGTAATTGTTTTAATGTGTAAGTTACTTTTAACTGCTACATAATTGTACACTGGTTTCAATTTAGAAAGAGGCAGAACTTTGACAATAATCTCTTTTGCCACATTCTCACTGATTTCCCCCCGAGGATGAAATCCTAGAACCGCCCTTAATAAATAACTCTCCTCTTCACCTCACATGTCACATTTTCTTCTGCCTAAATACTGAAACTACTGTTTATAAAACACACAGGGTTTCCATGACAATCCGCAGATGTGAATATTAAGAATCTTGCTGTATATAAAGCCGCATCTTTTTAAATGTGACATTTTAAATGGCTTTAATACCAGCTAATAACAATGGAAACCTCGTTTACCAGTATGAAAGAAAGCTAATGGCAGCCCCTATCCAGTTCAGTACTTTCTCCTTCTTTCTTTTCATTGTTATTACACAGCAAAATTTTTAGATTATTTTTGTTTTGTTTAATTTTTATGTTTGTATTATTTGGGTTTTCAATTCCATGTCAACAGCTCTTTAAGAAATATTATTTCCAGGAAAAAACATGACGTGTTCAATTATTTTCCCCTCTGTAAATACTCGTAAACTTTTTTGGGTCAAGCAAATTTGGCTATTTACTACACTAGGAAGGTAAAAAACTGTTTTATTATTTATTTATTTATTTATTTATTTATTTATTATTATTATTTATTTATTTATTTATTTATTTATTTATTTATTTATTTATTTATTTATTTATTTATTTATTTATTTATTCATTATCATTATTCATTATTAATTTGTAAAATCCAGGATCTTGGTTGATTTTTTTGGTTGTACAAACCTGCATTTTACCTGATTATAAATCTAGATTTTAAGTGTTTTGAAACGATTTGGTGTTATAAAGGGGTTTTTAAAGTGAGTCATTTAGTTTTAAAATGTAAAGATTGGTTTGATGTATAATGTCTTTAAAAATTGTATTAAAGGTGTGTTGAAAATTTAAATTCTCTCTCTCTCTCTCTCTCTCTCTCTCTCTCTCTCTCTCTCTCTCTCTCTCTCTCTCTCTCTCTCAGGTGTTGCAGTATCAGCAGCCATTGCTCTCCTCGCCACGGCCGTATCTCTGCTGTATCTGAGTGAATGAAAATGAAAATATTGAATATGTTAGCATGAGTGTACAAGTGAGTATGTGTAATATACTGTGTGATCTTAAAAAATGATTTCAAGTATAATTCTTAAATAGAGCCATTATATTGTAAAAAAAATATATATATACACATACAACTATTTGACAGTCATTAACACTACACAAGATTTACCTTCTCACCTCACTGATGGCTTCATTCTTTTGACATGATTTGAAAATAAAACATTAAGGTCAGGTCTGCTGTTTTCAAAAATGGTTTGTTGATGGACATTGTTGTGTCTTTGAATGGTTTCCACGGAGTTAGAAAAACAGCATTTCCAATATATCTCAAGGTGTTATTTGGGTAATAACATACCAGATGCCTAAGGTGCACCTTACGCAATCACGTGTCTTGTTTTTTTCCTTTTTGTTTTCTTTGTTGTGCAATTTTTCACCTGGCATGTAGTCATACTAATCTTTAATAACAGGTGAGTTCATAACAAATCAAAAGAAAACAAAAATAGTTGTCATATTATGTGTGTTTAGTGAATGTTTGAGGTTTGCTTAAAATGCTGTCTTTCCCTTAAACCGTTGAAGTCAGAATGATTAGCCCCCCTGTTTATTTTTTCCCCCAATTTCTGTTTAATGGAGAGATTTTTCAACACATTTCTAAACATAATAGTTTTAATAACTCATTTCTAATAACTGATTTATTTTATCTTTGCCATGATAACAGTAAATATTATTTAGACATTTCTATACAGCTTAAAATGACATTTAAAGGCTTAACTAGGTTAATTAGGTTAACTAGGCAGGATCGGGTAATTAGGCAAGCTATTGTACAATAATGGTTTGCTCATGGTAGACAGTTAAAATAAAATTTAGCTTAAAGGAGCTAATAATTTTGTCCTTAAAATGTTTTTTTTTTATTAAAAACTGCTTTTATTGTAGCCGAAATAAAACAAATGAGACTTTCTCCAGAAGAAAAAATATTATCAGACATACTGTGAAAATTTTTTTGCCCTATTAAACATCATTTGGGGAATATTTAAAAAAGGAAAAAAAATCAAAGAGGATTTAATAAGTCTGATTTCAACAGTATGTGCTATGTTTTCAAAATCAAACCAGCTTTGTCTGGCTTCTGTTACCACTTAAAATGTCATACAGGATTTGATGTATTGAAAATAACTGAACGGAAAATGCCCTAGGCGTAAAATATAATTGATGTAAAAATATTTTGTGTGGGTCCTGATGTCATTCCATGACACTCCACAATTGTAAATCAACCTTTATCACACCAAGTACACTGTAAAAGTGATTGGTTACTTTAAACCTGATGTAACTCAGAACCTCTTAGTTAATGTTCATAATTTTGCATAGTTCATTTACCTAATTTTAAGGCAACAGGTGTACTCATTTCAGTAAAGTCAACCTAATTGCTTAAAGGAATGGTCCAGAGTGTGTTTTTAAGGCTTGGTTGTGTTTATGAGATGCAAAGTGATGTGTGCTCATGCTTCATTTGTAGAAAATCAGGTTATTTGTCCATACTTTGATTATATACAGCTACTCTGCTAAAATGAAAACGACTGTCATAATTCCTAGTTCCTCTGAATGGCCCGCCCTCAAGAGGCTCTGATTGGTCAGATACACATAATGTGCTGTGAATCACAGATCGGTTCCACATCACCAGGAAAAGTGTCAAGCGCCTTGAATTTAATTAACTAAATTGGTCGTAGTTTATGAGAGTGAATGTGATTGTGTATGGCTGTTTTCCAGTACCGGGTTGCAGCTGGAAGGACATCTGCAATGTAAAACATATGCTGGATAAGTTGGTGGTTCATTCCGCTGTGGTGACCCTTGTTGAATAAAGGGACTAAGCCAAAGGAAAATGAATGAATGAATCAATGGGTACATGGCGCCTTTGCGCTGTGTAAATACTGTCAGGGTAGCTGTTAGCCGTATCAGTTTGTGCCTCATGTCTGCTCTCTAAAGCAAAATCTGACAAGTGTCTTTCACATATATTCAGAATAAGCATGTGTAAGAAATATGAAACATCCTCGTATCTTTTGTGAGTTTGTTATTTGGGATGTAGAACGGGCGGAAAGTGGCTGCATAGAGAAACACTGCAGCGCTACGAAAGATTGTAGGTGTTTACAGCGGTTTGACAGTTAAACATAAATTTGTAGCTAAATTGATACCAGTGCCAAACAGCATTTCCCATTGTTTACATCCTCCCTAAAACACAGGGAAACTGTGCATGTAATAGATTAATTTTAACAATTGAAAATATTTACGGGTTGTGGCTCACAATCCACAGCTTCGTTGGTTGGAGGACTTTTAGCTGTATCCAGCACTGAACTGGAAGAGATTCTGGAAGTTGTCCTTTGTCAAATGCTAGCTTTGTTTTTTTTTATAATTCTCTGGAACATAATTTAAATGAAATTGTGGGCACTTCACTCTTTGTGCCCAAATACAGTAACAAATCAAGCTCTGTAAAAATAGCAGCATTTGGATGGCATTTTAGCTTTCTCTGCTACATTACAGCACTACAGCGCCTCAGGCCACACCCCTTTGCTGCGCTTGGTGAATGCACGTAACCTGAAGCATTTGTGATCTCACCAACCCAGATGTATTTTTTTTAGTTCCCAAACCTAGTCTGATGTAGGCTTTGCTAAGCTAACTCTGTCTCCCTTTGCATGGGACTTTGAACGTATTACATACAGAGATGTTGTTTATGTTCACACAGCTACATTACACATCAACTGAAGTTTAAAATTTGATATTTTAGTGGACCACCCCTTTAAATTAATGGTTTTACTTACTTTTTAAATAGCAATGGGAATACTTACTTATTTTTAGAAAATCAACTAATTGCTTTACAAGTAATGCACCCAGAAATAAATGAGCGCTAACAACACAGATCTTGAGGTTTTTTTTTTTTGTTTTTTTTTTTGGGAGACAACCTAATTGTTTTATGTTCAATTCACTTAAATTTGTAAAATCGTACAAGGCAACTTAATTTAAAAAGCAATGGATTTGCTTACTTTTTAAAAGTAAATGCCATTACAAACAATAATTCACCCCCTTTTAAACCCCTGCTCTAAAGTTTATTAGTCTCTTTTAGACATAAATCCATATTGACTTGCAGGTACTTGCACACACTCTTCCTTCAAGACACAATAATCCTGTGACTATGTGATGTTAGAGTTTGTTTTGGTACTTGTCTGAACGTGTTTAACCTGGAATGACATTTGGAGCACACAACTATTTGTATGGAAATGAAAACAAAAGAGCGAGGAGTGCCCTCAGACCATTTTTGCCTTGGTTCATAATGAATGAAGTCACTCTGATTTTATGCAGTGCAGCATGACAACAAATAAAGTCACACTTTTTTGTGATATCATTTATTTATTAAGCAGACAGCAGCTCCATACACAGTAAATGACAACTACAGTGTCAATGTTTGACCATTTGTGTTCATGAGTGGCAAACCTTCAGTTTCAAAAGGGAAAACCAGAACTCTTCATAGACTTGAAGAGGTAAGAAATGTATCAAATAGTTTATTTTAAATTCTTTATATGAATATAAACAGTAAAAAGTCACCATGATTCTGTATATTATTGAAAATGTGTCTTATACTTACCAAGGCTGCAAATAAATAAATACATAAACAAATAAATCATACATACGTAAACAAATGAGAATAAAACCAGGTATACTGTTCAAATTGTTTTATGGATTATTTGATCATGTTAAAAGCATCATTTATTTAAAATACTTCCTCAGTACAACGTTTGGTCAGTGCAACTAATGAATACTTTTTCTTTTTTTGTACTGATCCAATATAAAACCTTCACAGAACACAATGTAGTATTAAGCTACTCTTCAGTGTTTATATTTTCACTTGTGATCGTCTGACATCAACGGACAGAAGGATGTGAATAGGCTGTGTGCCAAATTGTGACTCCCCGCCAAATTAATACCCCATGGTAGGTTTATGGTTAGGTGTTAGAATTAGAGGTGAGGTTTTAGATCAGACAAACAGGTAGCGAGATCAGTGATGAGGTTATAAATCGACAGGTGGTTAAAAAAAGACACAACACCTAAAAAAGAGATTACCTTAAAAAGAAAAGAGCCTCATAGCCAAATCTGCCATGACATCTTCACTGGAAACCAATTCTAGTTATGTTGTCTTAAGAGAGTACTACTCGCCGTTCATGCTTCAAGGCCCAAATTTCTGTCAAAATGTGCTTTCTGCATTCACGATTGTGGCTATATCTCCTCATGCCAATCAGACTTATCATTTTTGAACAATTTTTTATTTTATTTTACATTTTAACAATCCGGGCATTAAACAAAATTATACAAGCCCCATATTTGTCCACTTAACTGTGTTCTGCATTAGATTTTGTTGCTATATCTTGTCAGTTTTTTCAGACCTATTGTTTTCCAATAAAGTATTTTAAGCATTATTTTTAAACTCCATATTTTTACTGATATGCCAAGCCATTTTTGCATGTATCTCTTTCACACTGATTGAGCATTATATTTTCAATAAAATTTGGCAAGCCATTTTTACATAATGTCCGAGTCCAGTTTCTGACATCGAGGTTGATTTTTATCACTCTTATGTGCAAGAAGCTTTGATGTATCATCGCTAAGCTGTCAGTTGTCCCCATAGCAACAAAACAGGCTAACTTAGCAACCCTTTAAGATAGCAATATCTCGACATCAGAACATCGGAGGGACCTGGGTATTATTTCAATTTACTCATGCTAGCAATGGGACTTCCTGTGTACTATGCTTGGTAACGATGATAAGTGAAGCTATTAATGATTATCTAAGTGCAATAACATATGCTAGAAATGTCTACAAAGTATTAGCACTTGATCAAACATGTACACGAGCGTTGCCATTTAGCAAATGCTTAGCAACCACCAATGTCATAAACATTTTAGCAGCTGCCTAGCATATACTGAGAAACCACTGTGCTTCCTGCCAACTGCCATTTCCAGTCCTAGCGCAGTCAGGTTGGCTTTCTCAAGCCAACATCAAAGTTTGACAACGAACTTTAGGTTTCTAGTTTTAAAATGGCTTACCATGCGATGCAAACTTTTCTATGAGGTTTATTAAATTTTGCTTTGATTGTTTGAGAAGACGTCACATCAATTTGCGATACACAATATATGTGGGTCTTAAGTTTTTTAAAGTTCTGTGGAGTAAAGAGCAAAGAACTGACTTACAAAAGTAATAATTAAATGAATCAGGGTTTTTTTCCACTTAGCTGCTTCAAAAATTGAAAATTTGATTTGAATGGGCATTAAAACCCTTATCAGAAACTACTGGAACAGTCATGGAAAAGTCTTTGAAAGACTTGTGGGAGCTCTGGTTAATGAAACAAGCATGACTGTGCGCCTTTGATAACACTATGAAGTATTAAACTGCTGTAAATCAGCTGTTAGTAAATGCCTTGAGGTGTGCGTGTTTGTGGGAATCATGGCCCAGCAGTCACAGCGTCATTACTCATTCTATCTCTGAAATAGGTCTGACAGGTTGACTAAAGTAATTAACTTCTGATTATTCCACATCGGCATTCTCTTCTTCATCAGGACTTGCTGCAAACTCTTTCTCTGGCAGCAGGCCGTACTCATTTAGGAAGTTCTCCACGTCTGTGGCGAAGAACTCCTCGTTCATGTGCTTTGTAACACATAGGAAGTTGCCCAGCATCTCTCCAGCCTTGTAGACCAGCAGTGTGGGCAGAACGTCCTCTGAAAAACGCTCACCCGCTCCTGTGGCTGAGGCTCGAATTCGGCAGAATTTGACGGTGGAATATTCGGCTGCCAGGCAAGTCAAGCAGTTGTTGAGGGCATCACAACCTCTTATCCCATCCTCATAGATGTGCACCACCACTAGGGTCAGGCGATGCTCATTCTCGATGACATCCAGAAAGGCCTCTCCGCTCTCCAGATCAAACACAGAATCAAACTTGGGCCCGAAACTCAGGCGCTCGTGCATATCCTGCATGCACTGCTTGCGATACTTACGGAGACACTGTTCGTCCTCTTCTTGGATCATCTCGTATTCTTGAACGCTCATCTGCGGATGGTCGAACATAGGACTGTTTTAATAAATATACACACAAATCTGGTCCTACCTGAGTGACTTGATTGTGAAATGATTAAGCTGATATTAAAGAAATGTTAGTAATCTTGTTCATTTTATTATAATTTTCAGTTTTAAATTATTTATTTGGCCCACTGTATCTAATCAGGAAGAAAATATAGGAAAGCAGTCAACATGTCCATAAGGCAGTACAACTGTGCAAAAGTTTGGGCTCAGTTAAAATGTTTTAGAGAAAGAAAGTAGTTTTATTTAGCAAAAAAAATCTAAGTATTTCAAAAGATTTTTGTCTGGCGCAAATCCTATTCTTTTGAGCTTTGTATTCATCAAGGAATCTCGACAAAAATATGTATTATATTTAAAATAAAAATATTAAGCACCACAGGTCTTACTTGCTCATCTTGACTTTTTATATTGGCATTAAACTAGTTTACATAGGTTGTTTTCTTTGCTGGATATCCAAAGTTCATTTAGGTGTTCCTCATAGATATATACACTAGATATTGCATACAGACCCTGAGCATGCGTCAATAAGGCCGCCACATTTGTACTGTTCTCCCTGGAGAAATGTCATTCAACCGCACTAGTCAAGACTAAAGGCAATCTGAAGATACTGGACTTTAGCACTGTGTACGGGTGTAATAATGAGCAAACAAGAAAACAAAGCACAAAGACAGAACATATAATAGGTAAGATTTTGTTATTTACGTTTTTTGTATGCTACGAGCCTTTGTGCTAAACATGTATTGATGATAATACAATCTCTTACTGCCCTGACCATTAGGCAAAGTAGCACCAACTTGTACTAAATTATAGGCTTATGCAAGTTTTGTTGAATAAAATCAGCAAACAATGAAAAGTGCTAGAAACTTGTATTATTGTAAGTTAAGTGAACGAGTCATTACAGAGATTCAATCACAAATGAATCAATCCCTCTGTTAGAATGAGAAGTGAAAGCAGGAGGGGGGTGTTTCAGGACACGGATTAGATCAAATTTAACAGGGAGGGAAAATATTACGTTTCCATACACACAAACACATGCTCTTTGTCGGCAATGCCTGTGTGGTCCTTTATCCATCGATGTAGAAAAATGGTGTAAAATGATAATTTTCAGGATTTAAAAAAAAAACTGCATACTGACTACCGGGTAAACTCCTGATCATAGATATATGTATATATGTGTATATATCTCTGGTTTCGGATGGCTAGTTCTCCACTGCACCTTGGGCCATATTCATTTCAGTGTAGTGGCAGCTAAAATGGCAGCTATATCGACACATTCCTTCCAATTGACAACAATAGCATAGATGACTTCTAATGTAAGTATCTATGGGTGTTCCTCAGCAATCGATTTTGGGACCCTTAATTTTTCAACTGAAAGTTTTTTCCTCCTAGTGAAACCTGGTAATTATTTTCTGATGTGTTTTATCATTGGCTGGTACCAATCCACTTTATAATCACAAGGTAATATATTTTTTATTTCTTAATGTAGAAAATGGGATCTTAAGCGAATGTAGACGTGGTATTTATTTTTCAAAAAATTTTACCAATCTCAAACTTTCCAACTGTATTGGGACAAATAAGGTTGACAATATGTTTCTGTGATTACCTTGCGGTTCACTTTTTCCCGTGGGTCATCACTGGATTTAGGGTTGGACATCTGTCTGAGGAGCTCTCTCTTGTTGGAAGGGATACTTTCATGGTCTTCACTCTCAAGTTTAAACTTCCTCCAATCATGGATGACACCTTTTGGCCCTACAAAGAGGTTTTGCCACATTGCAATCAATGGGTTAATTAAATAATAATAATAATAATAATAAACTGTTTACAAGATACTGACCATAACCTTCAATTAAAGTAATCTTGGCCATATCACAACATGTGGGAAATCTCCACTATTACCTCATGATTACAGTAAATACTGATGTTTGTAAGACGAGTTCTGAAATTGCTGTGAAACTCTAAGGGCTTTTTTTTTTACCTGTCTGGGTTGCTGGTAGTTCCTCAATCTCAGGTGACTCTGACATGATGAATCTTCTATGAAGACCTGATAAGTGGAATCATAAAAAATACAGACATTCCTTTATGTCAATCTGTAATCTAAATTGACAACGTTTATTTAGCTGAAGCATATTGTCAATCTTTAGGTGAATAATTGAGCAATTTAATAATTTACTTTGCTTGAATAATTTGTACAAGCTATAAAAAAAAAGTCTGAGCATTTGCTTCTGCGTTTGGAGCTGTCAGTTTGACTTTCTCTGATCTTCAATACTATGTAACATATAGTGCAATTTTCATAATTAAAAGTATATATACATATTAAAAGTACGAGAAAAAAATTAAAATCCTTTATAAATAGGTTACTTTATGCATTGACTAATTAAAAATATAAAGATTATTTTGTTTATTTTCAATTAAATATTAGATACTAGGAGTGTGTGGATTAATCCTAAAGTATTGATATTTCCGATACTGGCAATGTATCACAAGGATCGATCCTTAAATAGGAGTATAATTATGTATATTACTAAATATATAATATTAATGTAAGATTTGGAGGTGAGCAGTGAACAAGTGGTGTTTAGCATCTGCTTAAACACTTTCAGCCACCTGTGCATTTGCACTGTTAGAGCAATCTGGTCAAATCAGTTTTCAACCACCTCTGGAAGTGGCCAAAATTGGACAAGCTCAAAATGTTTCACACCCTGTTCAGACCTACTTGTAGTCCATTTGTGATTAGATCAATGAAAATGTTTTTAAATACCAGATGCAAACAAGGTCTTATAATCTCAGCAACTTCCAGTTCAGCTGGTTTCACCTAGGGATTGGACAATAAAAGGAAGTCGTTGCTCCATCTGAAGATGCCCATTGTGTGCAATATCCTCTACACTTTGACATGCCCATTACTCACTTTTATATTGACAGACCATATAAAAAGTTTTGCAGTATGTTTACAGTCAGTTACTGTGGTGCAGTTTAGGGCTGCTCAATATATTGTTTTAGTATATATTCTGCAATATGTGTCCGCAATAAGTCACATTGCAGGATATGCAATGCTGAGATGATCAACAGTTGAATAGATGAGAATACATTAGATTTGTGGAGTTATCGCAAAGTATGACCTCAACAGAGTGAAACTTTATCATTTGCATGTGTTTTAAAGACATTTCAAGAGAGTTTGAAGCATTCAGGCACAATATCGTGCAACAATTGTAACTTTAATGAAGAAATGTTTTACATTATTCAATTTCTGTATCTGAATACTGTTTGCCTCAGGAAAATCATAAAGCACTGTTTATTTGACTTTTTTCTTTGCTCTATTGTAATTATACGTGTTTGCAATTTGTTTATTATTTTTATACATGATTCACACCCTTACAAATCACCCCAGTCAAACATTACAGTGATTTTTTCCCCCCAAATACAGCTATTCAAGCCATTTGGTGAAATTGTATTCATATTGCAGAAAAACAAAACATCGTAATGTCAGATTTTTCCAATATCGTACAGCTCTGCTGTTGTTTTGATGTAATCAAAGTAGATTTTATTTCTGTTGCACGAGATATTCATAACAATAGAGTTTGTTACAATTGTCCATTACTATGATTATTGTTATTGTTGATTAGGTATTATTCAGTTTTTAAAATATTTTGAAGGGTGCTACTGAAGAGAACCACATTATTGTGGAAATTTATGTTCAGACTACTCATTTATTTATCCATTTATTAAAAAATTAACAAGTATTTAATGTCTGTTTCTTTAATGCTGTAATTATGATGTAATCAAAGTTGACTGTGGCATGAAGTCTGTCAGAGTCTGTTACAGTTGTCAAGGTTGAGGTGGAATTAGCAGATTACTCTCCTACAAGTAATGGATTGCACTACAATCAGATTATATTGCTATGAGTAAGGGCTTTGTTCCTGTTGACACCCGTAGTGTTACTTTATTTCTGCATGATGTGAATGACAACTACACATATTCATATGAGAAATTAAATTTGTAGCAATTTGTAGCATCTCAATCTCAATGAGCCACCTTTGTTTATAAGGCTTCCTCAGTGTATAGTAAGCCACTGGCCTGAGAATATCCAGATGAGCTTTTTCTCTGGATGCTATAAACAAGACACACTCAGAAATGCGTCAGTAATAATCTTGTTCAATCTGGCTATCGCAGATGCTTTGCCACCTCAAATTTTCCCACCCATAGACAAATTGAATTAGCTAAAGTGTAAGTTAGCATGGACAAGGTCTACAGTATGCCTATACATTTGAAGCAGGTTTTAGAAATGTTGTTACTGCATTATGGAAACTATAATGTGTTATAGAACATTACATATATTATTTTATTTAGCATATAATAAAAAATGACTTCATTTTAAACTCGATTCAAGTTGAACTTTTTAGTTGACTCAGCTGACTCAAGTAAAGTCCTTGAGTCAAGTCAAAAAAGCTGTACAGCGAGTTGCCTTACAATTTTGTAAGTTGAGTTGAGTCAACCTTTTTTACAATGTAAAAATGCATGGACTTAAAATTGTTTATTTTTTCTCATAATTTATCAGCATGTTAGTGCATCCTGCATATAGTGAATTCAGTAATGTCTTCAGTAAAATGCTTGTGGTGTTGCATTGATGAATAGTTTTAAGCATTTTGATATTTTTAATCTGCTCTGTGTAGAAAAAAATAGCCATTCTTACCTGAGTGTTTGCTGTGATTAGCTGTCTTTGCTGTGCACTGTCTCAGATAATAATGCCTCTGTCTGCAAACACATCATGGTTACATCTCGGTAATAATTTGATGTGATGTAATAGGATTACAGCAGAGGACTTAAACAAGCTTGTCGCAGATATAGATGAACAGACAATACATGGACCCTACGTTATTGCAATAAGCCAAAAACTTTTTAAAAAAATCTCATTTCTATTTTGTCAGACACATCATGCTTAACTTTACGGCTAAATGTGCACTTTTTATAAAGCTGAATAAAGTTTAAACTGTTAAAGCCTAGTGTTTTGGCTTTTTGACTGTGGTTAGGGCCAATAATTCATTGCAAGCTATTAATTTTATTTTGTGTGTTATAGACCAAAACAAGTAAGGATGTGGTTATGTAGTTGCCCTTTTGATTGAAAGCATAAAAAATCTCTAAACATTGTTTTAATGATGTTCTGTTTCAAATGTTTTTAGGGGTAGCCATTGTGACCCTTTTGGTTTGGTTTATTATAACAGTAATTTATTCAACTACCAACTATAAAACAGAGTTCTTGCCACAATTACCTTAGTAATTGATTTATTCCTCTACCAAAGTTTTAACAATGTGTTTAATGTTTAATTGTATATACTAATTAATATGGTCAAAGCATCTTCATACATTATTAGACGATATTTGCAAAGAAAGACACAGGAAATGGTGCAAAAGACCAAAATGGAAATGTGTCTGGGAGGAAGTGATAAACCCCTCTGCTTTCTGTTTAGAGTCGGTGCAATTTAATAATAATCGTGTAGTTTGTCAGATTATTGGGGTTAAAAATATGCAAACAATAAGTATAAGACCAGAAGATTCAAATAAAAATAAGAATCACCTCTCAGGTCTCTGAAAACACTGCTGACTTTAAACAGTGTTAAAATATAATCTCAATGTGTTAGTGTTTTTCTATTCGTATGTGTTTTCTTACCTTACAGCATGTTAACTCTCAGCCACCATATTACAGTCAAGAAAACACCAACAAATAAAATTGCTTGTCTTTGCATCCAGCAAATAGTATGTCATCATTTTGATTTACACTGCAAAACCCAAAAAATTAAGGTAACTCAGACCATTTGAGGAAACCGATTGCAACAAAAAATTTAAGTTCAAAAACTAATCCTAATGAGTACTGTGAACTTAATCCATTTGAGTAAACGAAGCAATCTGAGCACAGTAAAACCCAATAGATGAAGAGAACTCAAACCAACGGAGTACTCTAAAACCCAGTAAGTTAAGGCAACTCAAACCATTTGAGGAAACCATTTGCAACAAATCATTTGAGTTTAAAAAAATCATATATATGTGAGTACTGTGAACTTACTCCATTTAAGTTGAAGTAATAAGTAGGGCCAGACAGAATCTGATTCTTTGATCAGAATCTGATCAAATCCGATTAGATCCACTTTATTTGGTAAACAAAGCAAGTCTCTCATTTAATATATCTACTAAAAGACAGAAAATATTACTTCACAAACTATATGGTAAATAAATCATATAGATATTTTCATATTAGTCAATAATATTACTGAAATTAATTTAAAAACAATCAAAATTTACACACATTTACACAAGTAAATAAACAGAATCAACGCTAAAAATCTGCGGAATTCTGCCCGTGCAGATTCCATGTGGGCCTAGTAATGAGGTATTTAGCTCATTACCTTCAACACTGAGTAAGTCTAATTAACTTTCAGGAAATTTTGAGTTCAGTCAATTTTGACACTTATTTAATTTGATAAAATTGACTATTGGGGTTTACAGTGTACTGAATTCATGCTCATTTTTATATTAGTTGTAGAAAATCCTGATAAGATCAAGGTAGTAAAATGGTAACCAACACAAATTGGCGTTCTTTGGGTTGTTACCTATCTTCTTTGGTTTGTAACAACAGCAGACCCTTTTTGGTGCTAAATAGAACCCTTTTTTATGAAAATCCTTAAAGAATCATGCTTTGATTATCTATTTTTTTTTCTTTTTTCATATTTATTTTAATTCATGATTTATTTATTTATATTAATAAAATTATTATTAATTGTCTTTCTTTTATTAGTATGTCTCACAGGGTTTCATTCTTAGATTTGTTAAGGTACAAACAATTGTTTTTTCAAGGCCAACTCTGGTCAGTTAAACTAGAAGCAAGAAAGAAAGGTTTGTCGAGAAACAAATGACATTTAGAAAATTAAAACACATAGACAACTTCAAAGTATGAATTAAAAGTATCAATTTACCTGCTGAGTGAGAGTTTGACAGTCTGTGTTGATGACTGAGCTCCAGAAAACCAGTAACGAGCTGCAGGTGCTTTGTCAGTTACAGATTTGAAAAACAAAAAGGCGGTAAATAAAGAGCCCTAAGATCACATAAAGAACCATTTCCTTTTCATATAAAAAGCCTTTTACAGAACAATACAAATCTAAGTTGAACTATTACTAGAAATGCTTTAAAGAATTAACCTTTTTAAGAGTGTAGTTAATAGACATCTATAGTGAATATAGATAAGCAGCAACATTAATAACAGTGGGAAAATAGTCAATTAAATCTCTAATATCTTTATTATTCATTTTAATAGCTTGTTAGTTGCCTGACGCATGAGTGTTTAACACCTGGGCTTGGTACAATGGCGGCCTAAAAAGACTTGATGTACTGACTGATATGCTTTCTTGTCTGCACATGAAGCAAATCTGACATGTTGATTCATGTCCTTGGCTTTGCTTTCTCATCTCACCTCAGTTCTATCATAGTTTACACATTCTTGATTTGAACATAAAATGGAGTAAATTCATCAAGAAAAGGTAAAACTAGATTTTCTTCCATCACTAGAGGGTGGTAAAATCCACTGAAAAGTTTAGAAGGTTAGAAAGTCTCCATGAAAAGGGGGCAGAGAGACCTCAATAGTGTTATGATGATGTTATATCACCAGACTCGCACTTTATCTGAGCTAGGCAATCTGCCAACACCATGTTTGCACAGTGATTTCTTTGGCGTATTTCCGAGCCATTTACACACACATACACCCTTTGACAACACGGAGTTGAGGCTGGGTGGGAAATGTATAGTGTTTTGCATTGTTTTACTTTTCTTTCAGATGTGTTGATAAGTCTACAGTTATTCACTAAACAAATAGCAGCCTCTTTTATGATGTATATCAATCACAGCTCTGCATGTACTTTATTCTCTCTCTGAAACTGAAGTTCACTGGATTAACGGGTGTTTGACTTTTTTGCCATAACCTTGTGGTCACAGAGGCTGCACGGCAGCGCAGTGGGTAGCACATTCACCTCACATCAAGAAGGTCGCTGGCTCGAGCCTCGACTGGGTCAGTTGGTGTCTTTGTGTGGAGTTTGCATGTTCTCCCTGTGTTTCCGTGGGTTTCTTCCAGGTGCTCCAGTTTCCCCCACAAGTCCAAAGACATACGGTACACGTGAATTGGGTAAGCTTAATTGTCCGTAGTGTATAGTGTGAATGAAGCTGCGGTCACACTGGACTTTTCTCCCCACAGACTTCTATTCATAGGCACCAGCATGCGACCAACCGGAAACGTAAGGTCGCTGCGGTGCAAAGTTCAAGCTTGGTGAACTCTGACCTGCAAAATCGCATCACTTGACTGCGTGAGACCAATCAGGATCAAAACATGACCTCTCTAGACAGAAATTTAAACCATGGAGCAATCGCTTGCTTTTTTTTAAATTGTCTAATAATCTTGTTTAATCCCGCCTCTTTTCGCAGCACCGTACAACATATTCTCGCATTATCAAACTCTAGTGTGACCACAGCTTAAGTGTGTATGGATGTTTCCCAGTGATGAGTTGCAGCTGGAAGGGCATCCGGTGCGTAAAACATACGCGACCCCAGATTAATAAAGCGAGCCGAAAAAAATGAATGAATAAATGTGGTCACAGATTCGCTTATTCATTTAACAAAATACCGTTTTTATGAAATAATTATAAAAAATAATGAACACCAGTATTACTTCAGAAGCCTAAACGTCTCAATAGATTATAAGTAGATTGTTAGGTTGGGGTTAAGGTTAGTGTAGGTTGACATGTACTTGCAAACTTAGTGTAGGTTGACATGTACTTGCAAACAAAGAAAATGTGTTCAAACTTTGGTCTAATAGCATATATAAATTCTAAGTACATTATTGTCACTTTCCCGGCTTGTTCCTGCTGCTCCAAGCACGATTCTCCCTCGTCTTCTCGTTCCTGCAGCTGCAATCACTGCTATCCCTCTCCAGCCACCTCTCACCACACCCGAGCACAATCACCTAAAATCTAATTACACTCACCTGCACCAGCAATCACAGTCCCTTATGAAGACTCACCGTTTCATTCATTCATTTTCTTGTCGGCTTAATCCCTTTATTAATCCGGGGTCGCCACAGCGGAATGAACCGCCAACTTATCCAGCAAGTTTTTACGCAGCGGATGGCCTTACAGCCGCAACCCATCTCTGGGAAATATCCACACACAAATTCACACACACACACTCATGCACTACGGACAATTTTAGCCTACCCAATTCACCTGTACCGCATGTCTTTGGACTGTGGGGGAAACCGGAGCACCCAGAGGAAACCCATGCGAAGGCAGGGAGAACATGCAAACTCCACACTTCATTGTGTGACCGTGACAATTATTGGTTCATATTCACTGATTATGTCAAATGAATAAATCTCCAGCCATGATGAGCATTGATTCAATGACTGAATAATAAAAAAAATGTAGCTTTGTATATTGAACATTTTAAAAAGTAGTAATTTAATGATATAAACTTAAAAACATAATTAACCTTTATCAAAAGTCCACTTTATACTGTAAAACTTCACTGTAAAATATTAAAAGAATATTACTTTAACGTAAAATAAGTTAACCTTGTTTCAGATCATTTCTTTTTGAGTCATACAAGAGTTAACTTGATTTTTAAGCCAGTTTAGGGGTTGACATCAAATTTAATTCTACTCAAAATTGTATATTAGCAACACATTTTGTAAATGTTAGAACTGCTGTG